CTGCATGAGGGTGTTAGATCCCCTGGAACAGGAGTTACAGGGAGTTGTGAGCTGCCATGTGGGTGCTGGGAATTGAACCCAGGTCCTCTGGAAGAGTAGCTGGTGCTCTTAACTGCTGAGCCATCTCTCCAGCCTGCTCATGATTATCTTAAGAATTAGATTTCAGCAGAGAAAGGGAACTACTGAAGGTCCCAGAGAAGTTAACAATGAAAAAGGAATTATTTTATCTCTCTTTCTGGGAAAAGGAAAGAGAAAATGAGAAGAAAGTTGCCTATGATGTCTTACTATAAGGCTTATCACATTTACAGTGAGCAAATGAGATTCTGGAAACTAGGTCATTTCAGTGTCTTTCTTCAGTGAAAGGGATGGATACTACTGTCCTCAGAAGCTCCTTGCCTCTACAGAGAAACTGACCATTCCCTCTTCCCACGTAGGCATCATTGTTAAGCTTGGGGTAGACAATCTCTATGCCTTCAGAAGTATCGAGTAATAATTACACCTTGTTTAAAACAATTTCCTTCACTCACTAACTTACTATCTGTCTGCCACATGGCATTCTATCATGAATGGCTTTTATGTGAAAATAATACTGCATTTCTTCCTACTTGGACAGTTTTAAATCACAATTAATTAACATCATCAGATAGAACTTTACTCAGCTGCTTTACAAGCACCGTACATATAAATAATATCAGGAATAAGAGATGTGGTTTGCAGGGGTGTCTCCATGTCTCTACAGCTCAAGAGAGTCACTTGCTCTCCTATTCCTTAGTTCTGTCTCATGTAGAAAGGTTTAGAACAGATTTCTCTAAAATTAAATAATGCTAGCCTGAAATCATTTTTAAATAATCGCAAATAAATATAAACGTAAAGACAAAGTACACAGTAAAGCCATTGTTCTTGAGTTGCTAATGAACAACTCTTGGCCACATAACACACCCACAAACCCATACTGTAACAACTTCGCAGGAAGCCAGAGCAATGCTCTGGGCCACAAGACATGACAATAAGGTGTCTGTGTTCCATTTCCACTTAAAAAATCTATACCTAAGAACTACCACGCAGCCTGGGAACTTCAACTTCAAAAAAAAAACTTCAATTTTTTATTTTTTAATTTTATTTTATTTTTAACTGATAGATAAAAATCATAGAAACTACAAATATCTATGGAATGTCATATAATGATTCAAAACTTGTCTATGGTGTGTAATTTGTAAATCCAAGGGAATATATCTATCTCCTCAAACAATCATTTCTTTTTTTTAAATTTTTTTTTTATGTGCATTGGTGTTTTGCCATGGAACTGGAGTTACAGACAGTTATGAGCTGCCATGTGGGTGCTGGGAATTGAACTCGGGTCCTCTGGAAGAGCAGCCAGTGCTCTTAACCTCTGGGCCATCTCTCCAGCCCCTGAACAATCATTTCTTATGGTACAAACACTCAAAATCCTTTCCTCTAGTTTTTTAGAAATTGTCTTTATCATGAGTTCACTGTCTAGACAATGGTATACTTCAAAGAGCTCGAGTTTAGAGCCGGCCAGACCTGCCTTAATCCCATTCCTGAGTTTATGAACAGTTCCCTGGGAAGGTTTCACTTCTTTCAGTCTGTTTCCTTGTTAGTAAAATGCGGAAATAATAATGCTCACGTTATAACGGTTTTATGTGGATTGAGCGAAGATAACTCAGGCAACATGTTTTGCACCCTCTAAGCACTCAATAAAAACGTGGGAGTGTGAAGATGCATAGTTAACTACTCATTCAGAAACAAGCAAGACTCTCAGAAGATAAGTCATCTCGCAAGTTCATGTCATTAGTGTCTGTAATATTTTTATTAGAAGTCACTAGTAAATTAAGACATAGAATTAAACGAGAATTACAGAATTTGCCATAGCTCAGGCTGCCTGGCAACCAATTCAAAACAATTGATGAGCTGTCACCAGTTTCCAAATCTCAACTTTTAATATGAAAATCTGACTCTTAAAACCTTTTGTTCTCAGGGGCTGTAGCTCAGTGGTAGAGTGGTCACCTGTCAGATACAAGGCCTAGGGTTCCATCCTAAATTTAAAAAAAAAAAAAATACGTGGTGGCGCATGCCTTTAATCCCAGCACTTAGGAGGCAGAGGCAGTCAGATCTCTGTGAGTTCGATGCCAGCCTGGTCTACAAAGCAAGTTCCAGGACAGCCAGGACTGTTACATGGAGAAACTCTTGTCTCGAAAAATCAACAACAACAAAAACTAAGACAAAACCTTTTGTTTGAGAGGGCTGGGGAGCCAGACCAGAGCCGTGACAGGTTTCTAATAGCCCTGCCAGGGACCAGGCCTTACTTTCATTTTACCGGCACTGGCTGGAGCTGAGCAGGCAGTTCTCAGGAAGATCACAACTCAGGGGCAACCAATCAGCAGGCGCCCCACAGCCTTCTGCTGGCTCAGCAGGTACCCCGAAACCCCTTCGGCTGGCTCAGCAGATGCCCACCCCCCAGCCGATGTCCCCCAGCCTTCTGCTAGCTAAAGATAGCTTTTTCTAAACCCCTAACCACTACAGCCTCCAACCAATCAGTTCCCAGACTAATCTTTCTTCCACCAATCAGCACCAGATTAATCCCTCCTCCCTGGAATTCCCCTAACTCTGCTTAAAGGGAGCTTGCAACTCCCTTTCGGGTCGCTATTGGCTACCCCAACTGTTGGAAACAGTAAATGCCCTTGCTAAATTGCATACATGACTTTTGAGTCTTTCTTGGGGGCTTCTCTCGGACCCTAACACTGCTCTTATAATTCCAATGAGACACCAGATTACTGCTTCTACATTTTGTCCTCGATTCTTGCCAAAACAAGTGTGGTTATGGCTTTATCAAAAGGCATCTTCTGAGGCCAGGACAATATGGCACCATCCCTGAAGTGACCTTCGCAATCCGGAAAAGGTACAGTGCCCTTTTCTTCGAAGGCAGCTGAACAGGCAGTGGGCTGATGGCTTCTGATGTGCAATGGAACAGCAGCTGAAACAGTTATTCTTGAAGAGTAACTAAACTCATACCTCTCAATAGTAGACTGGCATTTGATAGAGGGATATGGAGAAGAACAGGATGCTGAGATGAAGCCATATATACACAGCCAAGAAGAATGGACAGTTGAATTAAAAAAAAAAAATCAACAATTTCCAGAATTTAAAATCCTGAATCATAACATGACACTAGTGGAATTCAGGTGTTTCTGGTACATGGACTGCTGTCACCCAATGTGAGGTTGAACTGTTGACCTTGTGTACATCCTACTTCACAAATGAGTCTGTCAGATACGCTAAGCCTATAGGCTGAAGATGATGCCCCAACACTGCGGAGAAACCTCAGGTGACTGTCCAGGCAGCTGGCTGTTTCTGTCAACTCACAATTTTTTGGAAGTTGCTTGTATGTACTTCCTGTTTTTATTTTTGTTAGCTAATATTATTTCCTTCTTGGGTCTCTGAGGGAGTTGAAGATTAGTTAGTTATAGTTGAAGATTAGTTAGGATAGAAAGTGAATTAGGTACATTTTGGACTTACCAAAATAGGATAGATAATGGAATTATTTTCTCTGAATTTGTCAAATACAAATGGACCAGACATTGTTTAGGTATTTACTTGTATATATGGTATATAGTTATTGTACTTTTGTATATAGTTTTCTTATGTTAGTTATAACCTTTTTCCTTTTTTCTTTTTATTAAAATAGAAAAGGGGAAATATGATGATATTTTATTTGTACTAAAATGTGATTTGTATGTTAATAAAGTTGTCCAGGGGTCAGAGCTAATAGCAAGCCATCACAGAAGCATGGCGGTGGTGGCGCACGCCTTTAATCCCAGCACTTGGTAGGCAGAGCTAGGTAGATCTCTGTGTGTTCAAGGATACAGCCAGCATTGGAGACACATGCCTGTAATCTCAATACCAACCACAGAAGACCTGGAGGTCTGTACAGACAGGCAGTGACGAGGCGGTCATGTGGTTGGGTTTACAACCGATGAGAAGGCAGAACAGAAAGTCATCAAAACATACATGTTCTATGTCTTTCTATGGCTAAAATATATATGAATATATGTAGGTTTACTAGAACATCTGGAAAAAGAAATGCCTCGCAGCCACACCCCTGATTTCTACATATCACAACGAGGAACTGTCAGTTCCTGCAAAGGAACCACAGAGAAACTGACCTCTTACTAGGTTTCTTAAAACACAATGTAATATTTTTTTTTCTTGTGCTACTACCTTTTCCAAACATTAAGGGGCTTGTTTAGAATTCTCTAATCTTGGTCATAACATTCTTTTAAGAAGGATGTTTCTTACATTGATCTCTTTTAGGCACGAATAGTAGCTGAAGGTCAAACAGTACCGTCAGAATAAAGCAATGACACTTTAACTATAATTCAGGACCTGCAAGATACTTTCCTAAATAAACCATCTTGACTGAAGTAAAAAATAATACAATGCTACTGCCTCCATCTAGTCTAATAAAGTGCTAATTATTTGCCCTTACCTTTTGAAACTGTAATACATATATGTATTTTAAAAAATTGAGGAGTTCAAAGGGATATTTTCCCCTCATGTAATTTCACCTTGATTTATCTGACAACAAGCCAGATAGAGAAACAGAAAAAACAAGCATATATATGTATACTAGACATTATATGCATGTTAGACAGAGAAATTTTACTTGAGTTAATACATGTAGCATTATTAAGTATTCATTTTAATGTTATAATATTAGGTAATAGTATAGCATATTAAATCAGAAGTAAAATAAATAGGGTAAGATGTATTGCAATTATGTAGCCTTGACTGGCCTGGAACTCACTATGTAGACTAGGCTGGCCTCAAACTCAAAGAGATTTGCCTGCCTCTGCCTCCATCGTACTGGGATTAAAGGTGTGTGCCACCATGCCCAGACATTGACATTTTTCATTCGCAATTTTTTAGTGTTGAAAGAAACAGCTAGTAAAAGAGCGGTCAAGCAGACCACCAAGAGCAGAGCTGGGCTGACGTCAGTAGCACACATACTAACACTGGAGCAATACAGAGAAGATTAACGTGGCCCCTGCACAAAGATGACATGCAAATCCGTGAACCGTTCCCTATTTAATAAAATATAAAAGATAGATCTGAATAATTTCACTGGAGTTACTGTAAATATATGAAATCCAACATAGAAATGAGGCAAACGCCATATGTTTCTATCTAATGAGAACCAAATAGCCAGAATTCTTTTTATTTTTGAGATCCTAAATAATTACACCATTTCTCCCTTCCCTTTCCTCCCTCCAAGTCCTTCCATATACTCCCTGCTCTCCTCCAAATTCACTGCATTTTACTAACTACTAATGTCATGCATGCTGTGGATATCGCTCTATATAAACAAAGCACTGATTGGCCAGTGACCAGGCAGGAAGTATAGGCAGGACAAGGAGAGAGGAAAATTGAGGAAGGAGGAAGGAAAGAGAGACCTGCTGGAGCCACCGCCAAGACAAGGAAGATGTAAAGTACAGGTAAGCCACGAGCCACGCGGCAAAGTAAAGATTAATAGAAATGGGCTGAATATAAGAGTGAGAGCTAGACCATGATAGGCCTGAGCTAACAGCCAAGCAGTTTAAATAATGTAAGAGTCTGTGTGTTTATTTTATAAGTGGGCTCCGGGACTGGCGGGACTTGGCGGTGGGAGCTGGAGAAAAATTCTCCAGCTACACATGCATATATGTACACACATATATATTCTTAAATATTACTTACCCAGTCTGTAGAGTACTACTTGTAGGTATGTTTTCAGGGCTGCCCATTTGGCACTGGACAACGAGTTGGTGTGCTCTCCCCTGGAGGAGACCCCCTCTCCTGCCCCCAGCTTACCTTGGTTGCCTACAGTTCTTTCTGTAGGGTGGAAACTTCATGGGCTTTTTTTTCCCTCCAGTGCAGTTTGGCAATAATCAGAATTCCTTATACTCATAAACAATGATAATTTATGTTTTTACAGAGGGCCCCTCAGATTATCGGCCTCTGGTGGCTCAGGCCTATAATCACAGCACTTGGGAGGCTGAGGCAAGAGGAGGGTTGCAGAGAATTCAAGGTCAGCCTTGGGTTACAGAGTACAGAGTGAGACCCTGTCTTCAAAGAAAGGAAGGATAACAATTATTTTTGCTATTATTCTTTAACAAAAGGGAAGAAAAGGAGGAAGAAGGGAGGGAGCGGAAAAACTTCTGAATCATAGAGCAGGATAGTTACATTCCATTTATTCTTAATATTAATATTCTTAATATTTCCAGCATATAAAATTATTCTATCATTAACATAACAAGTCATCTTGTTATGTTCTATTATCTTGACGTGTACGGCCCAAAACTAAAAGTTCCATATATGTAGATATTTTTACCACTCCAAATGTTAAATTAATAATATCGTTATCCCCAAATTCTTAAATACTTTTCGTTGTGTTGAACACGGAAACAAGAGTGCCTGTGAAGAAAGCTGGTCTTTGTCTCTCAGGATTTATAAGGACGAATGTCTATTTTGTTTGTCTGCATTTTCAAGTGTGCCAATATTAACACTGGTTTAAAGGAGGTGAAGTTTTATTGATTTTTTTCAACCTTTCCTAATAAAAACTTTGTAGATAATCAAACATTTAGACATCTTTTCAAAAGATTCTGATTCCATCAACTTAATACCTTAAATAATTTCAGATTGTTAAAGCGCAGTTACTTAGATATTTTATCCAAGGGAAAATGCACTGTAGGAAACGTAGGCTGTTTCGCTGAGCTATCAGGCCCACAGTGCATTCCGAGATTGCTATGTGGTGAGGAAATGATACACTTCACTGTTCTTAGTGCAACTTCACTAATTTCTTCAAAGCTGGTCCCCTCTGTTTTTCATATCCATTTCAATAAATGACACATTGTACATGGCTTGAATGCCCACATTGAAACCTTTTTCTCTGAATCTAACTTGAAAAATAAATTATTATCCAGAGCAGTGGAGGATCCCACTGATGATTTTGAAGATCATATATGTATGCTTTGTTTGGATTTTTTAAAATATTTCAGATCTATTGATGTAGCTCAATGGCAGAGAATTTGCCTAGTGTCTGCAAGGCTCTAGTGTGATTCATAGACCTGCAAAACTTAAAATAAAAACAAAGGTATTTCCAGTGTATAAAATCATTCCATCACTAACTATTTTTTATACTCATGTGCACCAGCATAAACATGTTTTTGTTTTGACAGACAGAAACCAAAGGAAGCAAGGAAGTGCACAATTAAGCCAGAAAGGTGCTGTGACACCAGTGCTCAGCCAACACGGGCTGTGACAAGAGAGCCATTAACTCGCACTCTCGTGTGTTATGATGACATATGGGAGGCTTCCAAAATTAACACAGTGTTTTGCTGCCTACTGGCTTGTATCACAGGCTTAATACATTTTGAGGGTTTTTTTTTTTTTTTTTTTTTTTTGTGTGTGTGTGTGTGTGTGTGTGTGTGTGTGTGTGTGTGTGTGTTTTGTTCTTTGAAAGACGGGGAAGAGGGTGTTTTTAATGGCTTATGTATTTCGATAAGTACTTTTGGATATTTATGAAGCATTAAATATATTAAATGGATGATTTTGGATAAGAAAATCATGAGACATCACCGTGGCCACCATTTCCCTTATTGTTATCTACTCTGTAGTTACCCCTGTTAACTGACATAGCTTCTCTTTTCTCCTTCTCTCAGGCAATCTGCACTCTTTTTTAAAGATGTATTTATTTATTATGTACACAGTGTTTGCCTGCATGTATGCCTGCACTCCAGAAGAGAGCGCCAGATCTCATTATAGATGGTTGTGAGCCACCATGTGGTTGCTGGGAATTTAACTCATTACCTCTGGAAGAGAAGCCAGTGATCTTAACCTCTGAGCCATCTCTCCAGCCCCCAATCTACACTTTTTAAGAGGCTACTTAAAGCCTAGTCTGGGGAGATGGAGAGATGGCTGAGCAGTAAAGAGTATTTGCTGTTCTCACCGAAGATCCAATTCCCAGCACCCACATATCAGCTCACAACCATCTATAACTCCAATTCCTTGGGCTCTGACGCCTCTTCTGAGTTCCATGGGTTCCTGTATGCACGTGGTGCACATACATACTCTCAGAGGGTCATAGACTCACCTTCAGAAACTGTAAGGCAGTCCCCAACTAAATAATTTCTTCTATGAACTGCTTTGGCCATGGTGTCTCTTCCCAGCAATAGTAAAGTAACCAAGATAGGTCACAGAATCTCTGTATGGATAAGGAACGAGTTTTGAAACAAATGTTTGAATAACTGTCAGTGTAATTAACACCACTGAACTGATACCTAAAAGTGGCTAAAATGGCAAAATTCATGTAAAGTATGTTTTGTCACACAATAAAAGACATACAAAGAGAAATTGGCATGTTATACCACACATTTTTAAAAAGAAAAAAGAAAAAGAAATCTAAATTTCTTTTTCCTGAGACCAGCATGCTGGAGAGGCCACATGTCAGTAACATGCCTTAAGTTAAGTGAACAGTCTTTTTTTTTTTTTTTTTTTTTTTTTTTTGGTTTTTCGAGACAGGGTTTCTCTGTGTAGCTTTGCGCCTTTTCCTGGAACTCACTTGGTAACCCAGGCTGGCCTCGAACTCACAGAGATCCGCCTGGCTCTGCCTCCCGAGTGCTGGGATTAAAGGCGTGCGCCGCCGCCGCCGCCGCCGCCGCCGCCGCCGCCGCCACCACCACCACCACCACCACCACCACCACCACCACCACCCGGCTAAGTGAACAGTCTTAACGGGATCCTGCCTTACATCTCTACCCTGACACTATCCAAACATGGGAAAGCTGTATTCCATTCTCCAGAGCAGCCTGGCCTCTGTCTGAAGGCTGTAAGAAGTCTTGCTTGATCTCACTTAGACTGTGGATTCAGCAAAGTAAGCTCAGCTTGCCCCTCAAAACCATGAGATGTCATAAAGTGCTTTCTGGATTGGGGATAATCTGTCACACTGCAATAGACAACGGTGTTCTTCTACTCTCCATGAATCAGTTGACTTGGTGATTCCTGAACGCATGGAAAACAGCATGGGTTAAGAGTGCTGAGTCAAGCCAGGCAGTGGTGGCACACACCTTTAATCCCAGCACTCAAGGCACAGACAGGAGGATCTCTGTGAGTTTGAGGCCAGCCTGGTCTACAAATCGAATTCCAGGACAGTCAGAGTGGTTACACAGAGAAACTCTGTCCAAAAAAAAAAAGTGCTCAACCAAACTTCTGGTGATTCAGAGAAACATTTGGATCATGTACAGCACTGATCTCCCTCCCCCACACAGCCACAGCAGCAGACTGCTTTGAACACGGTATCCTGAGTTGCTGGTAAGTATTCTTGACACACGAAGGCCAGTTCAATCAGATATCAGCAGTTTAGAAATGGCATTTTGTCTTCATTCAAAATTAAATCACTTTCATTAAATCCAAAAGGAAGAATGAAATACCATAAAAAGTAAAAAATTATTCTCTTTACCAGAATGGCAAACAAGAACATGGTCTTATTTTCACATAGACACAAATATTCTTTGGTGATATTTTAGACACAAAATGACAACATTTCTCAAATGTTTTATCCTAAAATTGAAGACTAAGGAGGCTTCCAATTTTAGGGTTGGCTTGAGCACATGGTTTGGTTCTACCCACCGTGCATAGCAGGACATACAAGTCTCTGTAAGTCAGCTTCGTTCACTGCAGAAAAGACATACAGCAGTCTTTCTATCTGGGTTGTACACTGCAATCTCAGACACAGTCACCCGGGCTATATTCCGGACCATTAGAATCATTGTGGGTTGGACACGGGCCTTGGGCTTTCAAAAGATTTCCCCAATAGTAGGAGGTGGATCCCCATGGTAGAACATACGCTTAGTGTGCATGGGACCCTGACTTTGGTCCCCAGCACCAAAAGAAAGAACAGCCCCAATGCTACCCAATGAGAGAGCAACAGGAGCACGGGGAAGCAAAAGAAATCAAGGAAAGGTGAGACCGGGAAGTGAACCCTTAGAGGTCAGAGACTTAAAGGAACAGATTCAAACCTGAAGAAAGGGCTTTAAAACCTAACGAGTGCTGGGA